CATACTCTCATACTGGCATATTTGCAGTCGCCAGTAACGCAGTTATGCTTTAAGATAATAACCGACACACAACAAGCCAAACAAACACTAGCAGACATCGAAGCTCGTCACAACGATATCATCAAGTTGGAGAGCAGCATTCGAGAGCTGCACGAAATGTTCATGGACATGGCTATGCTTGTGGAATCTCAGGTAAAGTATTGTCTAGTTTTTTTATCTGCAAATCTCTCTTCCTATCTGTCAGTCGGTCAGTACATAAATCAGTCATTTTCGATTACCACTAATCTTTCCGGGTCGCGGAGACAGAACCGTAAGGTAGTGTTTGTGACACCATTGATCCTGTGCCAGTGTCTTAAACTTCGGCAGAAAATAATCTGAGTTTGGAGCACAGTTTTTGTTACACATGTCCCAGGTTATTCTTGGCCGTCCTCGGAATATTCGGCCGGTCATTTGGACAAGTAGTTACTGTGTCGCATTCTTTTCTGAAAGTATTCAAACGACATGTCAGAGCGATTGCATCTGTGGCTTCTCAGTCCAAAAAATCTTATCTGGTACAAGTTTCTTGCTTTCTTTGTATTGAATCATTTCTCTGACAAATATAGAATATCTTCCAATGGAAGTTACCAACGTATCTTAGCTTGTTCTTCAGTCAAAAGTTAAAATACCTGTATTGCGCTATGATTTTTTTGATTGCTTTTAAACGACTGCAGGAGTTTGTAAATTATTTATTAGCGATCTCGAAGCAGGGCAGACGATTTTGTCATGTGCTGAGTGTAATAACTTGTACCAGTTATACTTTGCGTCAGTGTTGATATAAACTAACTCTACATATGTTTGAATATACAGTCACAATGTTTTAACACCTTTGCAAACGTGTATGTTGTTCAAATCACAATTCTGCCGTTGCTGTCACGAACGCGTATGTTGTTCCAGCCGACACTGTGCTGTTGTATGCGCTTCCCCTCCACCTTTAACCTCTTATATTTATATCATAAGTTCTTGATCCGATTAAATCACTCCCTACTCCTCGATAAGCAATCGAATGGCGTGTCTTTACCCTATATCTCATGTAATTACGTGTTTGGATCATCCTTAGTGTAAACGTAAATTCATTTTTGCTTCTATACCATCTTGCTCTAAATTAGGCTTGCTTGTAATAATAGTTGAACAACTGCAGCAATAGTTGTTCAGATGCTGACTGAAATGTAGCGCAGTACGAAGGGGTGTACTCTTTTCTCTGCTTATCAAACTTGCCCCTTTCCATAGCGAGATTATATTCTGTGTGGTCGTAGGTCTAAAGCCTAAACCGTTTCTCCTACCATCCACAGTCTGGAGGCATGTCATTTTGCCGTAATCTATCGGTTTACAATTTAAAAATTAATTTCATGCATGGCATATGTGACGTACTTGGGACACATAGTTAGAATTAAACCATAAACTGAAACAAATTCCCACCTCCATGCATATAATTTTATATTTACTCCTCGTGATCTACGTAAATCCACGCTGCAAATGGTATGCCGTCGTGGCACTCCACCCGTGCAAAAAAAATGGATTACAGGATTGATCTGCTGTTGTGCGTATGGCGCAATTTTTTTTATTTTGCGGAAAGAACACTACTTGCTGTATGTGAAACACATAGTCGGTGTATCGGATCCTGTGACTGGCAAGATTGAACGTAACTCCAGCGATCGCATGGACCCTAACAAGGTTCAGTGAAGTACATCTCTAATAGGCAATGCCATTTACCACTTTCCTCAGGCGCTGGAGTTGTTCGGTGGTTTGTGTCTAGTGATTCTTTGACGAAAGTCGGAACTTCGTACCACTGATGGCTACTGTTGAAACTGCAGTAGCTATATTACTTTGGTCATGTTCCATCTTAGATTGTAAAAACTCATGGCGGATGTTTCCGCAGATTGGAAACGAGAGGAAAAGAAAGTTTGTTACCTTTGGAATGTCGATCTTCCAGCACTTTTGTGATTGGGTCATTTTATTGCCCTTCTCTACGTGAGGTTGATCGTGCTGATCTTCATTTCTATGCCATCGGTTAGAAGTGACATGTTTTTTTAATGCAGAGTTTACAGCCACGTGGCAGTCATAGCTTGTAGAATTTTTTCCGACAAGGTGGTACTTATTTATCGACCTCAAAAAGAAGAAAGGCTGGTGACCCTGGTCGGGACTTGAACTCGGGATCTATCGGTTCGGAATTCGACACTATCGATTTAGCAGCGCCGGTCTGAAGCACGTGTGGTAAATTCGAAGCAGAACTCTCATACACTTTGCCAGCAGTTCACATATGAACAGGTGTCGAAAGCATAACCAACGTCTGTAACCGTTTGAATGTCGGTAGTTTTTGTGAACTTTTGCGACTGATCGTAGTGCTTTTTCGCGAAGCTTGTAACAATGCACTGTTCTACATCATGATTCTCTCTGTCAAGAGCGCCACCTCTTGCGATAGTTTTTACAACCAGGCAATCACAATGGCGTATAGTCGTTCTTTATCTTGTAATATGCGGATGTACCCTTTGCAGACCTTCCCTTTTCTCCCATTTTTAAGCCATGACTCCATTTTTTGCTTTTTCCATCTTGCACTTCTTTGCTTTTTTCATCAATTCTTTTCTTATTCATTCTTTCTCTACATTTCTAACTGGATCTCATTTCATTTGTGCATTTGTTTAGTTTAGACTCTCAAGTGCATCCATCGGTAATCATAGGGTACGAGTGACGTAAGAAAATTTCAGATAAGTTTCTAGCCCCTGTTACCTTCAGAATCACAAACCACCACTAGGCCCACTGGAATATTACCTCCCCCTCCCCGCTTTTTTCTCACTTAATCATAATTTTCATTGAGTTCTGTTCATTAAGTAAAGCGAAGTGTGCATTGCTTTGCACCGTTTGCTATATTTTACCGTATTGGCATGGACATTGACGCCGTGTGCTTTAGGGTGAAATGGTTGATAGAATAGAATATAACGTCGAGCATGCCAAGGATTACGTCGATCGAGCAGTGGCCGATACAAAGAAGGCCGTTCAATTCCAGTCAAAAGCGAGAAGGGTTCGTTTTTTATTAAAAAATTAATATTGGCTCATATGCAAATTAGTTACATCAGACAGAAGTGAAAGTCACTACTTCCTTTTCCCTTATGCGATGGTTATGTTGCTGTTGAGTTCTCTTCTTTTGGAAATTTGCGTTTTTTTGTCATGGAGTGACTGTCAGGCCGTCATCTGTCACTTAGATTCAGGTTCAATCAGGTACCCCAAGCCGTCACATGGATGTTTTTCAGCTGAATGAATATATAGTTTTTTCGAGAAAGTAAAAAGATTAAAAATTCTCTATGTGCAAAGAGCATAATAACATTTTCCGGCAACGAATGCAGTCAGTTCATATGTAGCCATTTTACTGTTAGTAATCCTGATCATAAAGGACGGCTTGCTGGCTTCTGATAGGGTTCTGCGGTCCTGACTGATAGCCTTGGCGGTAAGCATTTGAGGTCTGATTGCATGTACAGCAAAATCAGATAAATTTGCTCTACTGATATGTGCGTAACCGCAAAAATTTTGAACCCTTACAAATTCAGTTCAGAGATTCATGGCTAGCGTTCATTTACTGCTGTTCTGTAATAAACATGATGAAACAAAACAGCATTTTAAAATAATGGTGCTTTAATGGAAACAGCTGAGAGAAGAAATGGGGGAGTTGTTAAAGGGTAAGATATACAGAACGATAGTAAGAGACCCGTGCTTATGTGCGGATCGAAATCTTTGGCTACTCTGAACAGACGACCAAGAGCTGGACTCGGTAGAAGTACGAATGTTCAGATGGATGTGTGGTGTCAGCAGGAAGAACCGCATCCGAAACAGTTCTAGAGCATCGACTGCAGCTAAAGTTCGGTGACTTGAGAAGACGATCCATCGAGTACGTTGGAAATGTTGTCCAAATGCTGCTGTACTGCCAGGAAAAAGGTAAATGAAAAACAATGGTGACTCGATGTCGTCAAGGAAAATATAAAACTCCGTGGAGTCACCAAAGACGTAGAAAAATGGAGGCAATGGACTCGGGTGACCAACCCCCTTTAAAGTGAATACGATGTGAGAAAGAAAAAGAATATGCGAGAAGAAATGTTTGGTTCAACGTGACGGTTTCTTGAACGCCTCATTTGCACAGCTTGCGGTTGTCATTTGTTTGGTCGAACAAGCACATCTTCAAACGCTAACGAATATACCTGTCTGTAGTCATACATTCCAAACATAAACCATAGTAATATAGCCAGTATACCTACCTAGTTTTCAATACCCCCGGTAAGCAGAACATTCCCAAGTGATGGTATTTAGCACCGATCCACTGCAGCTGTTAAAATATTGCGTAGGATTTGCTTAGACGGTCTCTAAGGCTACTAGATGCAAGGGGACGATTTATTTCCGAGGAAATGATGGGAAGGGAACGTTATTCTTTCTGACACTAGTGGAAACTACCAGTCTGTTAGTGTAACTACATGTATATATTCCGTAGTTAATAGTACTAATTTTTGTAATATCGTTGTTACTCTGGATCTGTTACTTTGCTTTTTTACATTTCGATATATGTAACGGTATATTCTAATTTAGAAGAAAATGTGTATCCTTCTGCTGCTGCTAATCTTTGCAGCCATAATTGCGATCATCATTGTGATTTCAGTCTGCACCAGCAGACAGTGTTAGCACTGCTGTGATATGTACTGCATGGGCCGTGATTGTTAGTTGTCGTGGTCATCGTCATCGTCGAACTTTACTTACGTAGCGAATGACGTACGCACTGCCTGCTGCAAAATACTGCACCGGTACTGAGCGCTGTACTCTAGGAGTGCTGCGGTGTCCTTCGGTGTTCGGCGAACTAATTCGACGTTCTAAATCATGTCGACGAAGAGTCGCTTATTTTATATGATGTTCAGATTTTATATGATCTTCAGATCAGTCAGTCGGTGTTATACGTGATGATGTAACGTTGGTTTTTTTTCGTTTGCATGTCGATTGGTCCGTTCGTCGCTTCATGCACCTGCTGTTGTATCAGGCTCTAATGTAGCCGTTTTTAAGCATGTTTTTTCATTCATATCCGATTCATTATCCCAAAGTTCGTTTTTAAGTTTCAGCCAATGATTATCGTTGTCTGGTTTTGGCATAACTATTAGTATTTTCTCTGATGCCGTCATATATTACGATTTTATACTTTCAGTTTTTATAATTTATATACCTTATTGCTTTTCATAACTGTGGCTTACATTCGCAGTGCTGATATAAGTATGAAATGAAATTGTTTTAGAAAAAAATTTTGATTATCATCTGCCTGGCGATATTAGCGTTAGTGATAGCGTCAACTTTCGGCGGGATATTCGGATAGAGACGGGCGGCGGCTGTGTATCATCCATGCGTGTATTCCTGCGTGCATTCGTCGTGTCGTCGGTTATTGCGACAGTGATGAATAATAACAAAAGATACTGCTTTGAACGTTATGGTTTTAATCCATGTATTTTGGTCTCATCTCCTCAAATGCTCGTGCGTGTCGTCGCGCCGCTCCTCGGCTGCCGCCGCCGTTTCTGTTTGTCGATTTGGCGTCGATGGTGACCCTCCGTCATGCTTTTTATGCAATAGTTATTTTTTCAGTTTACCACATGCCGACGATAGTTACGTGGCAAAGTCCGGTCCGGTCCGGTTCGGTGCCTGGTCGCTGATTGCAACGGCTAATTATTTCATTGTTCTCTACGTTCCGCCTATTCGCTGATGCGTGAATTTGATGTATCACCATATGGTTTTAACAAGCCATGCCTGGAAAGTGGTTGCAACTGTCAGAGAGCAGCAATCGGACGATTGTTCTGTCACCCGCCATTTGATGACACTCGTTGTCACATGCATCTGTGTAACACGCGTGCCGAGGACCTTGGCATCTGGTCACCGCCACGCCACTGCCATCACCATCGCCTCAGCGCTCGAACTATCTTCTCTGTCTCTCACCCTTTCTCTATTCTTCATAGATCTCATCGGTAGCGATCGACATCACTGTGACAAAGTTCGCAGTTTCTGACTCCCTGTTGCACCGACATAAGTTTAGGACGCTTGTGTTCAAGTGTATGTAGTTGAGCATGAATGTATTGTTTTTGAAGCTTGACTTTGCTTCGTATTAGATTTTTTAAGTATATTATTCACAAAAAATATGAGTAAATTTTCACCAATAAATAACTAATTAAATTCGTACCATTACCGTATTGTTGATGAGTAAAACGCGTTCTAACTCCATTTATGACAACAGAAAAACAAAAAGTTAATTCTTTACTAAGCCTGTCTCTTTTTACACCGGAATGAAGCGGCGTAATGGCGTCGTCTTCTAGCAGGTTACGGCTCCATGCTCCAGTGCATGCATGCAAAACCGCATCACTAAGCAGGGCCGTACAAAGGCCTGTTGGGACACCTGCCGATGTACCACTATCCTTCTAGGAAAAAAAATTCACTCGGTCACTTAAGTGTACTCATAATTTTTACGCGCCCCCGTTCTTCAGGGAAGAACTTAAGCACATTTAATAAAATAGGCTGTGGCGATTTTCTACAATTGCTATTTTCCATGTTGCATCATTTCTGTACCGCTGAAGCAGATGACATCTAGCAAATGCGGCACATCGTTTTCGATTGTCGACGTCATCGATTTAGCATTTTTTACACGCTATGAATTAAAACGCAACATTCCCAAAGCCATTCAGTAATTGTCTGATTTGGAACTAACTCTTACTGGGTTTCGACAGTCACATTTTGACAAGAAGTGAGCAGTGGACCAGAATTCATAGCGATTAGGTCGACTCACCGTGGGTTCGGCAATTAGCCGTTACATGTTTTGTTCGCTTGATTGATTGATTTAAACAAATGGATAAATTCATTCATTGGTTAATTCATTCGCATTTCTATAATATCATGAATCATGATACAACATCTGTTAATTTCTGATGGAACAGGGTTCCAAACGGCAACTATACCAACTGTTTGATGGCGAAGCTCCGGTCTCGCTTCTTTCTTGGTCTTGATTACATTGTAGGACAAAACTCATTTTCGATTTGGAAAAGGTATACCTTATCGTCATATTCTGGATCTTTTCCTTCCGGCTGCTCTTAGAAGAATAAATGTTTTTTTTCAATTTGTATCAACGATTGCATGTTCGTTCAGTCTTCAGTGATTTAGGTCTATGTTGTTTGGTACATGTTCTTTTGTAGTCGTCATCTTAGGTTAACCGCTTAAAAAGCGGAATAACCCTGATTTCTGATCGTTAGATACCCAGAAACGTAAATTAGGTGTCATTTATCAGGTTATATTTCATGCAACAAGCAGGCTTGTCTCAACGAGATGGTTTTAGGTTTCCTGCTAAGATCCAGACTGTTTCAGACAAGCGAAACCTCTGTCTCTGAGCTCATTTGTAATTTTCTCATACCAGTGGTTTTCAGCGTCTACTTGTTCGTGACCTAATGGTACCATAACACTTTGTGGATACTTCGAAGACAACGTTGTGAATGACTGTTTAGACGAATTTCATGATGTCTAATCACAGCAAATTTTTCGAGCCTGTTTATAAACACAGATGCTTTCAAGATCTTCGTATCAGGTTTTATGCATCATTCTTCCATATTTCTTATGGCTTGGTGAAATTTGTAGATACCAGTACTGTGCAGCGATTCACTTCGGGGTTGATATCGGTATCACTCGAAAACACTGTTCCCAGGTCCCACAGTATATACAGAATATTAAAGCTTTTCTGCAATGATTCATTAAAATTATTCCTACATTTTGTTGATGATCATTTGCTGGTTCACAGAATAAAATTAAATTAAATATTGATCACATGTAACTACAAAAATGATGAAGCCCGTAAGTTTTTCAGAACAAATTGAACCAAACAATTTGATCACCCATCGATAGTCAAGAAACGATTTACAGTAACAAAAGCGAACCGCTTCGGGAATGACTTATTTACTTACAAAATACAGCAGAATGGAATGCGGACGAAAAATAATTAAACTTTTGACCCAATTTTGTGGTCACGTCGATTCCATCGCTATTGCGTCCTCCTCAGACTTCATCAAGGTTCCAAGCGCGGTCGCGACGGCTTGCTGAAGAATGTCCTGTTCCGTGGGAATGCTTGAAGGTGATGAGAAACAGCTTTTTTTGAAACCTTCGGTCGCTACCTCCTCGGACTTGATCACGTGGTCTGCCGGTGAATGGTCTAGTGGTTCCACTTTAATGCGCACGTTAGGAACGCGATAGCTGGCGCTGGACGGGGTCGCTTCCGTACCAGTGCCACAGCCGTTTTGTTTGGAAGCATAATTGGGTGCCGACGACCGGGCTGAATGGACACTGGCCCCTGCATACTGGTGATGGTGGTCACTGTGTTTCAACGGTCTCTGATCGACTGGCGTTTCTAACCTCAGAGCGTAGAGCATGTCCGCATGCTCCGATGTAAGTGTACGAAGGTCGGTCAGTTTCATGAGGAGTCTGGCAAAATTCGATCTGCTCTTCGGCCGGTGAACCTCAATGTACGCCTGCAAAGCGGCTGTGTATATCTCCTGTATGTCTTCGACTTTCTTCACTTCTATCAAGCCGGGTCGTTCTAAACAGTTCATCATCAATCATCTTCACGTCTTGTGCATCACTTGCTTCGCGATTACCTGAGAAGACGCTGATGGCACTCAAGAAGGCGAACTCGGCGTCGTCGATCTTCATCTTTTCAAGCGATTTGGCGAACTCGAAGACAGCATCTGTTGCTGACCCCATGCCGGCCTGTTTATAGGCATGCCGACTGTACGCCCAATTTGTCGTATTGTTGCCCAGCAGAAAAGTGTCTGACTTGGCATCGTACCTTCTTGCCGTCTTAAGCATCAGTATCTCGGTTGACGAAGCCTAAATGCAAGCCATTCGACATGAAATGCATTCAAAATAGACCTGAGAATGCCACGTATCACGCGACTAGCACACCTGAATTCCGACTTGAATTCTGCATTTTCAGGTTTGCTAAGGGATGAATTTTAGCATTACGGTGATCGAACATCACTGTATACAAATGACTACCAGAAAACGCTGTCCGTGATATAGATCCAAGCGCCGTTTACGAGTTGTCTGCGAAGTAAGCCTACTGCATCGTATCCTGCTGCATTCTCAGCTTTGCAACACTTTTGCAATGAGGCACAGGTTACTGCACTGCTTAAGGAAATATACATCCCCGAATGCACACCTATCTTAAATTTGTTATTTCCATAAGTAATCGATGTTAGGGCAATGCCCCGGTTGGACAGAGCCATCTGTGGAGATCATTGACTCGAGATACTTAAGTTGGCCGACCTCCAAAAGTGTTTCACCTTCACCATATTTTATTTATTAGTCAGCACTGTCGCACGAGTTTCTCATAACTTTTGACTTCCAAGCATTAAAGAAGAGGTCTTGGCCTTCGCAACTGCGTCACCGGCTTGTCCTGTTAGCGGTGACGGACCTTTGCCTGCATTACACAACACGATAACACAGTCTGCGTTCTTTAGGTCAACAAGATATACAGCCAAGGATCTTGAAATGTAACTTCCTTCTAGAATAACAACTTCGTTGTTGCCAGAGGAACAAATGTTTAACAGTAAAAGCAATATCATGTCGATCTGCCGAACTCCATGGTTTATAAAGAATTCGTCAGCGTTTCTGTCCTCGACAGCAGATTACAAAAATGATTCATGCTCTGAACCTTTTTCACTACCGCACGCGTAAATTTTATTAAATTTCCTTCATTTTTCTCATCTTCATCTTCCATGGCCGCTCTATTTTCCGGTCCCGGAGGCAGACACGTCACACAGTGCTTCCAACGTTCCCGATCCTGTGTCAGATTCTGAGCTTCGGCAAAAGACAACTGGAGTCTGGAACAGACTCCTTCCATAAATTTGCACCGAGTTAATCTTCGCCTAACTTGGGCTTTCTGCCGGTCGGATTTGTAAGGAACAGTTGCTTAGCCTTCCTTTCTGGAGACATTCGCACCACATGCCCAAACAATTTCAGCTGTGACTTCTCAATCTGGAGAAGTAAAGGCTGTATACCAAGGCTCTTCCGGATGTCACTATTGCGGACCATGTCGAGACGCGTAAGGCCAGCGA